ACCTGCAACCTAGATTTGTACCCTTGATGGGGAATCCAACCCGAGACCTTCAGTCTACAGGTCAACACTCTAACCACTGAGCCAAACTGGTCAGGGCTATATATATTTTTTTAAATCCTCACCTGAGGACACGTTTTTCACTGATTTAAGAGAGAGGAAGGGAGAAGGAGAAACATCAATGTGAGAGAGAAATGTTGACTGGTTTCCTCACACATGTACCCTGACTGGGGATTGAATCCACAACCTGGTACGTACCCTGACTGAGAATCAAAACCACAATGGTGCATGGGAAGATGCTCTAACCACTGAGACACATTAGCCAGGGCTATACATGTACATCTTTTTTTGTTTGTTTGTTTGTTTGTTTGTTTGTTTTATCCTCACCTGAGGATATTTTTCCATTTTTTGTACAGATAGAGTGGGAGGGAGAGAGAGTGAGAAACATCGACGTGAAGGGACACATCGAGTGGCTGCCACTCGCACGACCAACCAGGGCCGGGGACAAACTGCAACCGAAGTACGTGCCCTTAGCGGGAACCGAACCCGGGTCTCTCCGGACCGCAGGCCGACGCTCTAATCGCTGAGCCAAACTGGCCAGGGCTATACATGTACATCTTTAACGAGATCTTTCATTAATGAATGGAGTTTTTAATTTTTTTTATCCTCACCCAAGGACATTTTTGCATTTATCTTCAGATAGAGCGGGAGAGAAAGAGAGAGAAACATCAATGTGAGAGAGACACATTGAGTGGTCGCCACCCATACAACCCCAACCAGGGCCGGGGACAAACTGCAACCGAGGTACATGCCCTTAGCGGGAACCAAATCCAGGACTCTGGTTCTCAGGCCGACACTCTAACTGCTGAGCCAAACCGGTCAGGGCAATGAATGGAGTTTTTAAAAAAGAATTGACTCATAATTACTGGCTCTGAACAAATGGGATAGATATTTACTTTTGGTTTTACTATTTAGAAATAGTTTCTCTGGCTCTTCCCTACATTCAAGCATTTGAAAAACATTTGTTGAGCATTTATAGCAACCCTTCACCCACACTAAGATTCATTGGAAGCCATTTGGTACAATATGACTTCATTTCTCTAGACTGGGTTAGAGATGGGCACCTGGCGGCCAATGAGAAATTCTTTTCTGATGCCATAAGGTATCCTTGTGTCCTTAGATTCTCCTTTTATGCTTAAGATAGTTTTCTTTTTCTTAATTTTCTTTTCTCTATTGACTTTTTTATAGAGAGAGAGGGAGATAGAAACACTGATGAGAGAGAATATTGATTGGTCGCCCCCTGTATGCCCCCCACTGGGAATTTGGCCCACAACCTGGGCATGTGCCCTGACCAGGAATCGAACTAATGACCTCTTGGTGCATGGGTCGATGCTTAACCACTGAACCACACTGGCCGGGCAAGATAGTTTCTGTTACTTTCAAGCTAAGAGGTTTTAACCAACAGAACCACTCTAGGGATGATTGTAAACCTCATCTCTAGGGGAAGACTGTTCTTTTAAAAAACCAGCTTTTTAAATTTTATTTATTTATTTATTTATTTATTTATTTATTTTATCCTCACCCGAGGACATTTTTGCAATTTTTGTACAGATAGAGTGGGAGGGAGAGAGAGAGAGAGAGAAACATCGACGTGAAGGGACACATCGAGTGACTGCCACCCACACGACCGACCAGGGCCGGGGACAAACTGCAACCGAAGTACGTGCCCTTAGCGGGAACCGAACCCGGGTCTCTCCAGACCGCAGGCCAACGCTCTAACCGCTGAGCCAAACCGGCCAGGGCAATTTTTTTTTTTTTATCCTCACCTGAGGACATTTTTCTATTTTTTGTTCAGATAGAGTTGGAGGGAGAGAGAGGAAGAGAGAGAAAGAGAGAAACATCGATGTGAAAGGGACACATTGAGTGGCTGCCACCTGCACGACCAACCAGAGCCAGGGACAAACTGCAACCGAGGTATGTGCCCTTAGTGGGAACCGAACCCAGGTCTCTCTGGACCGCAGGCTGACGCTCTAACCGCTGAGCCAAACCGGCCAGGGCAAAAAACCAGCTTAATGGGTCTTCTGAGTATATGAAAGTAAAGCAAAAATTCATCCTGGAATAAAGAAACTCAGAACAATTACAACCATAATGCACAGTGAGGTAAAGGATGACTACATTGTGTGCAAGGTTTCATCTCTGCAGGCAGCATGCTAATGCTTGTTTGCTCTGTTGTTTTTGTTTTTGGAGGAGGGCAGTGTCATTATTTGATTTGATCTGGAGACAAAAAGAGATGGGACTAGGGAAGGCAAGACTGAAAAAGGAGAATTTTTTTCTTGGTAAGATGAGTTGGCTCATGGAACCGGGTAACTGAGGAGAGGATGGCCAATGAAGGGACATGACCAAAGATTTCCAACAGTGAATTACGCTACTTAGTTTTAAGATTTCTCTTGCAAGCTCAGGCTTCCACTGAAAATAAATATATAGCCCTGGCCGGTTTGGCACAGCGGTTAGTGTGTCGGCCTAAGGACCAAAGGTCTCGGTTTTGATTCCTGTCAAGGGCACGTACCTCGGATGCGGTTAGGTCCCTGGCCCTGGTCAGGGTCATGTGGGAGGCAACCAGCAGACATATTGATGTTTCTCTCTCCCTCCCACTCTATCTGAAGATAAATGGAAAAATATCCTCCATTGAGGATTAAAAAGAAAAGAAAGTAAAAGGAAAAAAAAAGAAAAGTAAAAAGAAAAGAAAAAAGATATATATTTTTTTAACCCTCATGGGAGGATATTTTTCCATTTATCTTCAGATAGAGTGGGAGGGAGGGAGAGAGAGAGAGAGAGAAACATCGATGTGAGAGAGAAACATTGATGTGAGAGAGACACATCAGTTGGTTGCCTCTCACACAACACCAACCAGGGCCTGGGACTGAACCCCAACTGAGGTACATGCCCTTGACTGGAATTGAACCCGCAACTCTTTGGTCCGTGGGCCAGCCAGGGCCATTGAAAATATTTTTAAGCATGGCAACCTTGTCTTAGCTGTGCTTTGGAAAATAAAGAAGCATCTATACTCAAGCTTAAGGAGAAGATATGGCTGGAAGTGTGTATTGGCACAACTTTGGAAATCTTGGACTGTTTTTTGTATACCTTTCTTTTTTTAAAGTTTAAAAAAAATTTTTTTTCCCTTTATTGATTTTAGATAGAGAGGAAGTGAGAGGGAGAGAGATAGAAACATTGGTGAGAGAGAACATAGATTGGGAGTTAAAATGGTTTCAGGATAGTGACTACTTTTGGAAGAAAGCAGAGAGAAGATAGGATCTGTGAGGAACACCCAGGCAGCCTCAATAGTACAGGTTAATGTTCTTTTTCATAAATTGGGTGGTACATTCATAGGTGTTCATTTTATTATGTTTTGTAATTTACATTAACATATATTCTTTTGTACATGTCAGACTTTTTAAAAATAAAAGAATAAAGTAATTGTCAAACTGCTTGACAGTAAAGTCATACTTCTGACCATGCCAATGAACTGTGATTTAATTTTTTTTCTTTTGGGGATAGAGGGGAAGAGATTCCCACTTAAATGGCTGTCTTGTAGCATCTTTGTGAACTAGGGTGCAATTTCCTCTGCTCTTGGAACATTGATGTTTTCTCCCTGACATTCTGCAGGAACTCTAAAGCAATGAGGGAAGCTGTAGTGGGACCATATGGAGACTGCAGAAAGACAGTTACTTATTTTACACTGTTGCAAAAACAGAACAGTGTTTTATATTTCACAAGTTGCTGCAACTAATATAATGTACTTTTTTTTATCCTCACCCGAGGACATTTTTCCATTTTTTGTTCAGATAGAGTGGGAGGGAGAGAGAGAGAGAAAGAAACATCAATGGGAAAGGGACACATCGAGTGGTTGCCACTCGCAGGACCCAACCAGGGCCAGGGACAAACTGCAACCCAGGTACATGCCCTTAGCAGGAACCAAACCTGGATCTCTCTGGACCGCAGGCCAACTCTCCAATCGCTGAGCCAAACCGGCCAGGGTGATATAATGTACTTTTGATGGGTTTCCAAAGGTTGCAATATTTCACCTTAAAGACAGAGGAGAGGAGCTGTTCCTCTTTCCCTATGCCTCCCAATCCTCCATACCTTGCCTCTGCTGTTCTTTATGTCTGTAAAACCCTTCGCTGCTTTGTTGGTCTGGCTCCTGTACCTTCTTAAAATTTTTAAGTTAAAAGGCGAATGCCTGTCAGGCAGGTGTGGCTCAGTGGTTGAGCATTGACCCATGCACCAAGAGATTGCCGGTCTGGTCAGGACACATGCCCAGGTTGTGGGCCTGCTTCCCAGGGTGGCATGCAGGAGGCGGCCAATTGATGTTCTCTCTCATCTGTGGTTTTCTCTCTTTTCCTCCCTCTCTCAAATCAATAAAGAAAAAGAAAAAGAAAAAGAAAAAAAAGGCGAATGCCTCTTGGAAACTGTCGCCTCTCCCTCTTCGTTTTCTCATCCCAGTATCATCACACTCTGAGGTTTTTGGGTAGGGCGTCTGGTCAGACCTCAGTCTCGGTGAGGATAAGCTTATCTTGGGTGTGCTTGAGGACAGCGCAGTGGATATAGAGCTCAGTTTCCTGGATCAAGCCGTCTACTTCGAACCCCCTGCCTACTTTATCTGAGGGTTTGAGTTACTCGCAGTGCCTCAGTTTCTTCTGTTTGACAAACACATGCTTTAACTCCAAAAGTTAATAGTAGAGGAACACCGTTTAGTGCCATCTGGGTGTTCAGCTCTTTATTCGGGTTCCTCAAAACTGGACAGGGACAGCCCTACTGACCCCCCTTCTTCCAGGGCGTACTTGAGGCCGTTCTAGGCCCGCACCTCGCTGGGCGGAGAAAGTCCTCCAAGTAGAAGAAGAGGCCTGAGGCCGGGAGAGGAGGAGAAAGCTTCGGCGGCGCTCTAGCCCGAAGCTCACTACGCTCTCCCACGTGGCGTTCTCGATTGGCTGAGGGCCGCTTCCGGAACAAAGGCGGTACTAGAAGGAGGACGACTTCCGGCGCGAGACGCAGTCGTCGCATTTGTCCGCCCCAATGGCGGCCCCAGTGCTTCACACGCGGTTGGTTGGAGAAGTGGCCGCTTCGGCCTCTGCGGGCAAGACACTGGGCGCATCCAGGACTGGGTAAGAGTCGTGACCGCTTCCTTCAGCGCGTCTGGGACAAAAGTCCAGGACCGGTATTAGGGGAGCAGATCTGAAAGGGCCTGAGACGGAGCTAATAGAGTGGGTGGGAGAAGAGGGTACAGGGTCATCTCATGTATCAAGAGTAAGCCAGTGCTCTTTAAGTGAATACTGAGGGTGCGAGAGAGGTCGGAAAAATGAATCTATTCTCTGTTCCAGAGTCCCCTTTTCTCCCCACTGCCATAGCATCCCAGGCCTGGATACTGCCTTGTGCTCCTTGACGCCTCCCTCCCGCTTCTTCGTCTAGATTTGGAGTTTCCTAGGCTGTTTGGATTGTCTGCATTGCTGTCATTGTTGGCAAATTGAATCCTAATTTTTTTGTTTGAGATTTGCTTGGACACAACGTTTAACAATCTATAGCTTGTTCAATTTTTAAAGTCCTTTACCCCCTAAAGTACTTTGGAGTTTAACTTTGAGAGTCATTATTAGGATGCTGTTTTTTTCACTGATCTGTTGTTTAAAAGAAAGCAAACTTTGTAAAACACTTGGGATAATATTATTTATCATGACATTTATTTAGTTCCTACGTACTGTATTAGACATTGGGGACAGTAGAAAGAGACCAAGTCATTGCGCCCAACAGAGCTTACAGTTTTGGAAGGAAAGGACAATAAATAGATGAACAGGATGATTTCAGATCAAGGTGATGTAAGCAGGGAGGAGGAAGATGGGTATTTCAGATTTCTGATTGGGAGGGCCTCTCTGATATTTGAGCTTCAATTTGAATGAAGACAGGAATCCAGCCATATGTAGATGTGGGGAGTGAATGTTTCACATAGAGCAGCGATTTTAAACCAGTGTGCTGCAAGAATTTAAAAAATATGTAATACTTGATTATTTAGTATGAGGCACTGACCTCTTTTCCCTTATGTTGTCAAATAAAAACATGACAACAACCAACAGAATAGCCATTTGATGTGAATGAATCGAAAGGATGCCTATTTTTTTGTCAGATCAGCAAAAAGTATATCTTTTAGTGTGTCGAAGAATTTTATAAATTAGTTCTGTGTGCGATGAGATGGAAAAGGTTGAAAATTGCTGAGATAGAGGGAACAGCAAGTGAAATGGGAACCAGCTCGACAACGTTGAAGAATGGAAAGGACATTTGGCTGAAGTATATAGTAAGTAGTCGGAAATGAGGTCAGTGGTAGGCAGGGGCCAGATGAAAGAGGAGGACCTTGAAGACCACAGTATGGAGTTTGGCTTTGTATTAAGTGAAGCAGGAAACCTTTGGAGAGTTTAAGCAGGAGAGTAGAGTAGCATGATCTGTTTTAAGTTTTTGAAATATTAGATCTCTGAGTGAAGAATGGATTGTTGGGGGATAACAGTGGAAGCAGGGAGGCCAGTGAAGAGGCTTTAGCAGTAGTCTCACTGAATGATGGTTCGATAACTGTTGACTTACAATTTTTATCATTGTCTCTCATACACTTAATAGCTTGCTAATCTTGGTTGTACAGGATTTCAGATGTGCTTGAATTAGAGAATGATTTCTTCAATTCTCCTCCAAGAAAAACTGTTCGATTTGGTGGAACGGTGACAGAAGTCTTGTTGAAGTACAAAAAGGTAACAGATAACACATGAATAACCCGCAGCCTTATTAAAATATAATTGACATTGGGGTTTTTTGTTGTTGTTAGAATACAATTATAGCAATTACACCGAAGACCAGTTAATATAATAAGAAGAATTTTAGATACCCATCTTGAAATAAAATATCTAATAATAGCACAATCTATCAGCCCAAAATTAGAGTAATAACCTCTTGCTGAGGTTTCATCTCTTCATCTGTTTTATCTACATGGTATGTTTTAAAAACTTCAGCAAGTTATAGAGTGTAAAAACCATAGAACACAGCATTTTATTTCTTAAGGAATTACCAAAGCATTACTTTGGGACAATAAACCAGCTCTGTTAATAGTGATTTTTTTTTTTTGGTAAGATTTTTAGAGAAAGAAGAAGGGATGGGGGAAAGAGAGAAACATTGATGTGAAAGGTAAACACAGATGTGCTGCCTCCTGCACACCCCCTACCAGGGATTGAGCCTACAATCCGAGCATGTGCCCTGACCAGGAATTGAACCAGCAACCTTTCGGTGCATGGGATGATGCCCAACTAAGTGAGCCACACCAGCTGGACTGTTTTTGTGTTAGTTTAAAAGTGATTCCATTAAGTCTCAGCAATGGAGAAAAAATATGAATGACTTTTGTTTTCTTTAAATTGAGGTATAATGGACATACAATGATTGTTTTATATGTAATATGCATTTATATTCATATATGGAATGGATAGTATCAACTGCCATATTCAAATGTCAGTACACCAGTATACCTATTTAAATGGCATTTTAATTGTCACTTTTTTCCCCCCAAGTGCTGTAGCTCCACTAATATGAGTTTTTAAATGTTTGTAGTCATGATTTTATAATCCACAACTGATAAGTGGCAGTTACAATGTTCCTTTTGTAATTTTGTCAGATATTAAGATATAGTTAAAAGTCCTGCTATTGATCTTCAACAGAAAACCAAAGCAAGTATGATTTCATTTTCCCCTCCATCCTGTTAAGGGTGAAACGAGTGACTATGAGTTGTTGAAGACCCAGCTGGCAGATCCAGACATAAAGGTAATTAATTTTGTGTTTGATTATTGGCAAATTGTTTCCATTTTGGACAGATGTTAGTTTGCACTTCTGTTTGATCCTGTTTTATCCTTTAAAAACTTCTCTCTCTGATCCCGTCTTATTTTAACACAGTGATTCTCAACCAGGGGCAGTTTCACCCCCTTCTTTTAATTGGTGATAATCTGGAGACATTTTTGGTTATCATAACAGGAGGAAGGTGGTAAGGCGCCACTGGCCTCTAATAAGTGGATGACAGGATGCCACTAAACATTCTAACAATTCACAGGGCAGCCCTCCACAACAAAGAATTATCCAGCCCAACATGTCAGTAGTCCCAAGGTTGAGAAACCCTACTTTAATCTTTCCTTTCTAATGTCTCTTTTTCCCCTGTGCTGTAGACAATTCTCATATCTCTCCAATGCAAAATCAAAATAAACAAGAAAACAAAAGATGACTTGTCTTTCAAGCTGCTACTTTTTCAGTGTTTCAGAATTCAAGATATAGTATATACTTGTCATGTAGTAACAACTCAGTACATTTTGTTTCTCTTTTCTTCTTTTTATTGCCTAATTTTGGAAGAATAGTCTTTTATCATGGCAGTGGTAGTCAGATTGCCTGGGATAAAATTCTAACTCCACTGTTATCCAGTGTGTGATCTTGGGCAAGTTGTTTAATCTTTCTGCCTTTGCTTCCTGTATGTAAAACCAGAAAAACAATAGAGGGTTCATAAATAGAGAGGTTTTGAGAGGATCCAGTGAGTTGATATATATATGAGAAGCACTTAGAGCAGGCCCTCATTCAAAGTAAGGGCTTTGTAATTATTAGCTGTTGTTCCTGCTAATGGTCTGCACTTTCTCATTTCTCATTCATGATTAAGTCAGCTGCTCTAATTACTGTAAAAAGATAACCAGTGACTTCTTACATGCTGATTTAACTGCCCCTCCTTCAAGCCTCATACTAATTCTCTGTATTAGTTGCCACTTGACCACCCACTTCTTGAAACATCTTCTTTAGTTTCTGTTTTCTTATGGATTATCTCTAATCATTCTTTTGACAAATTCTTTGTAAATTTGGTGTTGACTGGTTTTCTAAACTTGACACTTTTCTCACTCTACAGATTCTTCCTGTGTTGATCTCCTTATACCTTCGTGACTTTGAAATGTACCTGTATCCCGATAACTACCAAATTTATATCTATAGCTCAGATTGCTCTTGTGAATTCTAGACGTATTTTTATTTATTTATTTTTTTATCCTCACCCAAGGACATTTTTCCATTTTTTTGTTCAGATAAAGTGGGAGGGAGGGAGGAGGAGAGAGAGAGAGAGAGAGAGAGAGAGAGAGAGAGAGAGATCAATGTGAAAGGGGCACATCGAGTGGCTGCCACCTGCACGACCCAACCAGGGCCGGGGACAAGCTAACCTAGGTACATGTCCTTAGCAGGAACTCAACTTGAGTCTCTCAGGACCACAGGCCGACGCTCTAACCACTGAGCAAAACCGGCCAGGGCTCTAGACTTATTTCTTAATGCGTGCCCACAAGTGTTACAAGTGCCCCGAACTTCTCATTCTCTCTCTTCCAAACCTACCCCTTCTGAAGCCTTCTTTATGTGCTTAACCTGACTTACTGCTCACCTGGTTCTTGAGCTAGGAACTTTGGAGTCTTTCTGGACTTTCACCCTCATATCCTTAGATTTATACCAAATCCTTTGGGGGGAAATATCTTTCGAGTCTTATTTTGTGGGTGTTCTCTTGTCTGTGTTCTTTCAATAATCTCTTTATTGATCTCCAGGTTTCTGTTCTCCTCTATCTCACCAGTCCCCCCTCCCCTAGATTTATCCTCAATAGTACAGCCTAAGTCATCTTCAAAGCACATGCTAAACATGTCACTGCTCTACAGAAAAACTTCATGCCTATTGAAGAATAAAGGACAAACTTCTTTGTATGGCCAGTAGCAATTTTTTCTATGTTCAGTCTCACTAGATACTTCATTCCATGAATTTACCATTTCTTTTCATCTTTATACCTTTTGTTTCTGGCTGCAAGAGGTCCTCTATATCTGGTTACATGGCCTCCTTCTCTTACTAGCTTTTAATTGAAGGCAAGTTACTGCACTTTTGTGCCTCAATGTCCCCATCTATAAAATAGGAACCAGTGGTAATGCCTACCTCATGGGGTGGTTGTAAGGATTAAATGAGTAAATATTTGTTCAAGTCTAAGAACAGTGCCTGGCACAAAGTATTATATTAGTGTTTATTATTACAGGTGCTCCTCAACTTAGGATGGGGTTCAGTCCATTGTAAGTTGAAAATACCCTAAGTCAAAAATGAACTTAATACACCTAACCTACCGAACACCATAGCTTAGCCTGGCCTACCCTAAATATGCTCAGAACACTTACAACAGCCTGCAGTTAGACAAAATCATCTTGCTACTATTGCCCAACTTTATGGGAGTACTTTGTGCTGCATAGCACTAGCCTCAGAAAAGATCAAAGTTCAAGATTTGAAACTACTGTTTCTACTGAATCTGTATCTCTCAGCATTGAGAAGTCAAAAAATTGTAAGTCAAATCATCATAAGAAGAGGACCATCTGTGTTATCACTGTAATCTACAAAACTCATAGTCTTTGCGATCCAGCTAAAATGTCATCTTCCATAGTGGAACTTTCCCTGGTTCTACCTAAGCACATGGTTGTTCATTCAGTCCATTCCCCACACTTCCAGCAGATCTTTTTAATTGCGAATCTGTCTTACAAGGACTTCAGTGATTTATCTGGCCCCACTGTGCTCCCCAGATGTATCTGTTGGCTTACTCACCATGTCTTCCAGCCATACTGAACTACTTTTGGTTTTTTGTAAACACGCTTTTCCCTGTGTAAGGAATCTAGCCCCTAGAGAACATGAACTCTGTTTAAAGACAGCAGAAGCATCACTTCCTGTTTAAAGCTTTCCCTGAGCCTTGCTTTCTTCCACAGGTACAAAGGACCATTTTCTTTGTGTTCCACTGTATTTTATATCAGCATTTCTCATCCTTGGTATCTTGACGTACAGATAATTGCATCAGTTGTGTCTTTGTTAGTTCAGAGAGGTGTTGCAAGTAATTTGCCTCTGATAATAGTTTAGTACTAAAGCATTGAAGTCTGACTAATTTATTTTTAAAAAATGGAGATGTTTAAGTGTTATCTTTATAATTTTGTTGCACTTTTTTTTTAGATCCTCACCCGAGGATATTTTTCTGTTAATCGTCAGATAGAGAGGGAGGGGGAGAGAGAGAGAGAAACATTGATGTGAGAGAGACACATTGATTGGTTGCCTCCCGCACGACCCTGGCTGGGGACCAAACTGCAACCGAGGTACATGCCCTTGACTGGAATTGAACTCGTGACTCTTTGGTCTGAGGGCCGACACTCTAACTGCTGAGCCAAACCGGCCAGGGCTGCACTTTTCTTTTTGACGGGAAAGAGATAGGATAGAACTAACTCATTTTATTTGCAAGTAACTTAGCTTGTCTTCTTTGCCTCAGGTGATGGTGAGCCACCATTAATGTTACCCTTCATGGTTGTGGACATTATAAAATAACCGTATTGCAAATGAGTTTTCATTTACTTTATTTTACTGTCAGCTTTCTTGGAGTTTCATCAGAAAATAATCTCATTGAAGTTTGTCACATAGCACTTAGAAAGCACTCTGGTTGAATGAAGGTGGGGAAAAGATGGGGCAAGGTGTTTGAGAGAATGGATGGAGCTTAGGTTTTGACCCAGACAGACAGGTTGGAACCTGGTTCTTTATTGGCTTCTTGGTTGGGCAAGTTGCTTATTAATCTCTCTTTTCCTCAGCTGTAAATCTTTTTATAGTGTTGGTAGGAGTAAGAAAAGATATATATGTATGGGATTGAGCACCATGCCAGGCACCTAGTGTGTTCTCACTAAATGACACTTATAAATAGTTTATAACTGTAGGTACAACACTGTGCTGCTTTTGTTTATTTAGAGCTCTTTCCCTACTGAGGCTTAAATCACATTAACTATTTTCTTTAAAAAATGGGGGCTTTTTAAATATTTTTCTTATGCATGTTGTATATATCTATGAATACAAACATTTTACATAACTTGATACTGTATTTTATTCATGGCTTCTTTCTTTCTAAATCCTCACCCAAGGATATTTTTCCCGTTGATTTTTAGAGAGAGTAGAAGGAAAGGAGGTTGGGGGGAGACAGAGAGAGAGAGAGAATGTGAGAGAGACACATAGCTTGATTGGCTCTGAATGTGCTCTGTTGGGGACCAGGGATCGAGCCTGCAACCCAGGCATGTGCCCTGGACTGGGAACCAAACCCATGACCCTTTGGTGCCAAGGCAGTTGCTCTAACTACTGAACCACGTCAGCCAAGGCTCTTTCTCTAAAATATTTCCATGGGTTAAATTTTAATTTCTAGACTTGTCAGGGATCTATTTTTTCATTTAGCAATTTTTTTCTATGTCACTAAAAGTTGTGAACAGTAATTTTATTACCTGAAAAATATTTCATGGAGTAGTGGGATCATCGTTTATATATATAATACATCTTAATACATTTAAACCCAATGGCAGGTTGGGTTGAGAAAATTTATATTTATTGATGGCTCTGGTTAATCAGCTTAGACTGAATGTTACCAACATACTTGTGTGTTAGCATGACTACAAAGGAGATAGAGGTCCTTGTGGTCTTAGAATATTTGAATCTGTAAGTCCTAGTTATCAACATTTGAGGGGTTTTCACTTTTTTAGGGCAAACAAAAGTAATGAGAAGGAAGTATTGCATTTAATTCCTTTTCCCATATATAAGATTTATTGCCTTACTTTTTTCCTAAAATGGGAAAATTTATTGTAACATCTTTTTCTAGTTTGATAACTAAGAAATTTTTATTTCAATTTTGACTTAAGTCCAAGTTTGTGACTTCTTTTCCTAATTTAAATATTATTGATAGGTGATTGATGCAAGATAGATATCATCTTTGTTATTTTAGAGGATTTATGATTTTGAGAGTACTTTTCTTTGTTTAACTTAAGGATGACCAGATCATTAACTGGCTGTTAGAATTCCGTTCCTCTATCATGTACTTGACCAGAGACTTTGAGCAGCTTATCAATATTCTCTTGGTAAGTTCACCATTTATTTCACCAACTAGTATGTGATTCAGTGCTTTGAAGTAGTATTTATTGTACCAGTAAAATGGGTTTTTTTGGTGTTTCTCTTCTTCCTGCTTCTAGAGATTGCAGTGGTTAAATAGAAGTCAGACAGTGGTGGAGGAGTATTTGGCTTTCCTTGGTAATCTTGTATCAGCACAGACTGTCTTCCTTAGACCATGTCTCAGCATGATTGCTTCTCATTTTGTACCTCGTAAGTGGTTCCTCTGCTTACTTTGATTTTTCACTTATTAAATATTTCTATTAAAATACTACCTTCCCAAGTACACTTTGTAGATTAGCCCACCGTTTCAGATTCCAGGAGACATGTTTGCAGCAGTTCTGGTACATGTCTGTTGCCTATAATGACCTCTGTGGAAGTGTTTAGATTTGTTTGTTGCTGTGATTATTATGGGTTGTAATTTGCTTTAGTGAACTTCTGGTGAAGTGTTAGAACTCAGACATTTGTAGCTATTTAAAAACTATAAAGTTCCTTGATGTTTTTTTCTCCAGATTGTAACTTTAATCATTATATTAGTTTAGACAATAGAAAAATTTTTTGTGTATGTCATTGACAGAAGAATAACACCTTTTGTTTTTCCTTCAAAAGCCCGAGTAGTCATTAAGGAAGGTGACGTAGATGTTTCAGATTCTGATGATGAAGATGATAGTAAGTATAAAGAGGATTAAAGCAAAAAAAAAAAAAAAAAAAATGCCTGCTGTGTCTTAGAGAATGTATGTTGAATGATAAAGTTTAATGGCAACCTTTTTTATTTTTTGTTAATCCTCGCCAGAGGATATTTTTCCCATTGAAGTTAATTTTTAGAGAGTGGAGGGGAGGGAGGATGGGAAAGAGAGAAAAACATCCATGTGAGAGAGACACGTTGGTTGCTTCCCACAGAAGCCCTGATTGGGGTCAGTGATCAGACATGCACCCAGATGTGTGCCCTTGATGGGGAATCAATCAATTGCCCTGAAAGCATTAGTTATATAATTAGTCTACTTAGACTTCACTGATAGTTGGCTATGGAGAAAAATCTTGAAATTATTGTTTCACTGATAAATGATTCAGTTTTGGGTACAGGTGCTTTTAGCTTCAAGTATATAATTTTTCAATTTACTTTGATCATATTCTCATTTTTTTGTCTTGTAGATCTTCCTGCAACTTTTGACACATGTCACAGGGCCTTGCAAATAATAGCAAGATATGTCCCATCGTGAGTATACTTTTACTTATTTTGAATCACAGTATTTAAGTCTCAAGAAATTGCAATCAATTAGTAGAAAACTACAAGTTGTTTATAGAAGTAAAACTCAGGTTGTGTGCCGCATGTTTTTTGTTGTTATAACATCACATTTTACCAAAAAAGGGAATTTTAATTCTTTATTTGTTGTCTTTATTTTTTAAAGCTTGCATGTAAATTCTCCTACAAGTTATATATAGTGGCTAGAATTTTGCTTTTATTTCAGCAGATATGATATCCAAAAACTTTCACTGAGAGACCTCTGAGTCATGCCATTTGAATAAAAATTGCAGTTCTAAAAAAGATTTTAAGGTTTGTGGGTTCCTTTTGGAGGAATGGACTTAAAGTTCCCTCTGTAAGTTTATTTGCTAAAGTTTTAAAAGGTCCAAGTTGAGCCCGGCTGGCGTGGCTCAGTCATTATGTGTCGACCCACGCACCAAGAGGTCGCCAGTTTGATTCCAGGTGGGGGCACATGCTCAGGTTGTGGGCCTGATCCCCAGTGGGGGGCATGCGGGGGGCAGCCAATTGATATCTCTGTCTTTCTCCCATTCCCTTCCTCTCTCTCTCAAATCAATAATGAAAAATTACTTAAACAAAAAAGAAAAAGAAGAAAGTCCAAGTTGATTTTTTTTCTCCCTTTTAAAAAATTTATGTGCGTAGTAGGAAATGTTTAGATTTTATTTTTTGTTTAATTTATATTTTTAATCCTCACCTGAGCCCTGGCTGGTTTTGCTCAGTGGTTAGAGCATTGGCCCTCGGTCCAGAGAGTCATAGGTTTGATTTCGGACAAGGGCATGTACCATGACTGCAGTTAGGTCCCCAACCAGATGCGGGAGACAACCAATCAATGTGTCTCTCTCATATCGATGTTTCTCTTTCTCTGCTCCCCCCACCCCATCTGAAGAATAAATGGAAAAATATCCTCGGGTGAGGATTTTAAAAAAATAATAAAAAAATAATAATAAATCTTCACCTGAGAATACTTTTTCATTTATCTTCAGATAGAGTGGGAGGGAGGGGGAGAGAGAGGAAGAAAGAAATATCGGCATGAGAGAGACATATCCATCAAATGGTTGCTTCTAGCCGCTGAGCCAAACCATCCAGGGTGGAAATGTTTAGATTTTAAACTGATATTCTTTTGCCCTGGCCGGTTTGGCTCAGCAGTTAGAGCGTCGACCTGCGGTACAGAGAGACCCGGGTTCGGTTCCCGCTAAGGGCACGTACCTCGGTTGCAGTTTGTCCCCGGCCCTGGTTGGTCGTGCGGGTGGCAGCCACTCGATGTGTCCCTTCACATCGAAGTTTCTCTCTCTCTCTCTCTCTCTTCCTCTCTCTCCCTCCCGCTCTATCTGAACAAAAAATGGAAAAATGTCCTCGGTTGAGGATTAAAAAAATAAATAAATAAATAAACTGATATTCTTTTGCTTTTGTAGGAAAAAGAATTCCCCTTTAATTTGCTATTGATATCAAAGTTAATAGAAGCTTATTTTCCCTTAAGTTACAGAATTTCTCTGAATCTATTCATTAATTTTAAGTTCTGATTACTTGAGGTAGGAGTTACCATTTGCCTCCTTTGTCCATATTTGCTCTTAGAATGGAAATGCTCCCTTCCAAGACAGTCCAGTTAACATGGATTGGTTGATATATATGTTTTTTGTTTTGTTTTTTTTAATTAGGACGCCGTGGTTTCTTATGCCAATATTGGTAGAAAAATTTCCATTTGTTCGGAAGTCAGAGAGAACATTGGTAAGAAATCTTTACATGGGGAAAATAATGGAAAAATTGTTTTTTGTGATTTACTTTTAGATGCTGTTAGGTCTAAGACTTTGACTCAGACTGAGGACCCTGGTACCACCTTCTTTGATTTCTATGTGCAAGTTAGAGGCAGAGGCCATTTCAAATATATCTGAATAGACTTAATGATTAGACAGATAAAACTTACTAGAATGTAATTATAAATATGTCTTATTTGAACAGAGCCTTCTGTAGATGACTTCTGTTTAAGGTTTACCTCTTTTTTCCAAGTTTTAGATAATCTGTGTTGTTTTCAATAAATAATAGTGGTTCCCTTCTAAGCATAGATTACTTTTTCCTAAATAAATTATAAGCATTAAATAGTTGATAAATTTTGCTAATGTTTTAGTAGTCTGTTTCCAGTGGAATATTATAAACCCTGTATCTCTTATGAATACAGATGCAAAAGTCCTCAATAAAATACTAGAAAAGTGAATCTAGCAACAGATAAAAGGATTTATGCACCATAACCAAGTGAAATATATCCTAGGAATACAAAATTGATTTAAAACCCCAAAGTCAGTTACTGTAACCTACCGTGTTAATAGAATAAATGACAAAAACCACGTGATAATCCCAGTAAATGTGGCAAAAGCATTTGACAAACAGCAAAACCCTTTTGTGACAAAAGGAGGATATCTTTGTAAAATTCACAGCTAACATCCTACCCAATAGTGAAAGACTAGAAGCTTTCCCCTAAGATAAGGAACAAACAAGGATGTCCACTTCTCCACATTTGCTAGGTATTTTACTAGAGGTTATAGCCAGAACAGTTACGCAAGAAAAGGAAAAGGCATTCACGGGAAAGGAAGAAATAAAACTATATTTGCAGATGACATAATCTCTCATGTAGAAAAATACTAAGGAATTCACAAAAACACTATTAATGAGCCAATTAATGAGTTCAGCATGGTCACAGGATATAAGATTAATATACAAACCCCAGTTGTACAAGACAATTTAATGGGAAAAACAATAGTCTTTTCAACAAGTGGTTCTGGGTTAAGTAAGTATCTACATGTAAAGATGAAGCAGGACCTCTCCTTAGACCATATACAAAAATGATCTTAAAATGGATAAAGGGCTCTGGCTGGTTTTCTCAGTGGTTAGAGCCACGGCCTGTAGACCAATGAGTCACAGGTTCAATTCTAGTCAAGGGCATGTAACTCAGTTGCAGTTTGTCCCCAGCCCTGGTTGGGTCGTGTGGGAGGCAACCATTCGTTGTGTCTTGTCTCTGTTTCTCTCCCTTCCTCCCATTCTGTCTGATGATAAATGGAAAAGTGTCCTCAGGTGAGGATTAAAAAAATATATATATATAAAGTAATGGTTTACTTCCTACAACATGAATGAACCTTGAAAACATGCTGAAAAACCACATAATTTAAGATCTACTTGTATGAAATATGTAGAATAGACAAAATCAGAGAGACAGAAAGTAGACTAGGGCTGGGGAGAGGTTCCACAATTCTGAATATACTAAAAACCTTTGAGCTGTACACTTTAAATGGGTGGATTTTATATGAAATATATCTCAACAAACCTGGTTTTAAAACACCGTAGAAGTATACAGATTACAAATTAGTTTTACTGGGGGTAATTTGATAAATTTCACAGACTGCACATTGACATGGCAAAAGACTACCCTGCTATATACAGGCGGAAACTGGATAGATAAACAGTATAGTTTGAATGTTACTGGATAGTCTGTTTTTTCTATTTCAGTAATTGGAACTAAAGATTGTGTAATTGATGCATTTCTTATGTAACTGAAACATTCTCTTTTGAAATGTTTTATCTTTTTGTTTTAGGAATGTTATGTTCATAACTTACTAAGGATTAGTGTGTATTTTCCAACCTTGAGGCATGAAATTCTGGAACTTGTCATTGAAAAGCTACTCAAGTTGGATGTAAGTATTTAATAATCTATTTTTCTCCTGGTTTTCCTTTATTAAATATATTTGTTATAATCATGGTATTTGAAACAGTATTGACAGCAATGGAAAATAACCCATAATTCTACCTTTGATTCATTTATTTGTACATTTTTTTTAATTGATTTTTTTTTTTTAGAGGGAGAGAGAGAGAAACATGACTCGGATGCCTCCTGCACGCCCCCTAATGGAGATTGAGCCCACAACTCACAACCCGCAACCCAGGCATGTGCCCGACCGGGAATTGAACCAGGACCTGTCAGTCCATGGGATGACTCTCAGTCCACTGAGCCACCCTGGCTGGACTCTTTGTACATTTCTTGAACTTCATTGATGTGCTAGGGTTTATAAACAGTCCCATCTCATGATTGGGTACATGGCATTGATTAGACAGTCACAACAGTGTAAAAGTGTAGTTGTAAATTATATGAATGAAACACATACATTGTTATGAGGAAGAAATCTGGTGGAATCAGGAGTAGTCAGGAAGGCATTTAAAGAGGCCTGCAGTAAGGTGCAATGGTAATGAAAGTGGTGGGTTCTCTCTCTTTTTTTTTTTTAATTTTAAAAATTGATTTAGAAAGGGAGAGAGACAGAAACATCGATCATTTGCCTCCGGTACACTGCCCGAGTGGGGATCGAACACGCAATCTGGGTTGGGCACATGCCTGCTGGGTATGTGCCATGACTGGGAATCAAAGCAGTGACTCTTTGGTGCATGAGGCGATGCCCAACCAACTGAGCCACCCCAGCCAGGGCAGAAAGTGGTGGATTCTCTTGACATTGTGGAGGAGAGGTGAACTAGTCCTTGAGTCCAGGAAGGAAGTGGAGAAGTAGGAGGGGTAAAAGAAAGGAATCCTTCAAAGGTAGCTCTCTGTGAAATAGGGTCTTGGTGTTGACATTAGCAGTAGTAAGAAAAGTCTGGAGAAAGTTGGAAGATGATGAGTTCCATTTTGGATGCATTGAAGTACAAACCTGTGGAATGAAGCAATTTAGGACAGGAGAGAGGAAGTATGATTGGAAGTGTGGGGGGAAACCAAGGATGTGGATGCTTGAGGAGGATCTGGAAGAAGGAAGGGTTTGTTCAGCAGCATGAAATGTTAACATTTTTAAGAAGAATGAGCAAAGCAAAAGTCCTTGGATTTGGTGATTAGGAGGTAGTTGTTGCTTTGTCAGTGTTGAGGGGGACACTGCATTTTAGAGTGTGGATAGTTAGGGAGTGGGGTTATAAGAGATAGTGAGGGTTTGTGCTGTAAAGAGGATGAGGCAGGAGTGAGAGATGTGTTAGGGTTGGGGAGACTTGACGTCTGTGGACTGAGGAGGTGAGTTGATGGAGAATATTGTACTGTAGGGGAGGAGGCTGTACTGAGGCCAGTCTAGCAAGTGCTGGAGGTTGGGCAGGCTGCCACAGTACTCACTTGGAAGTAACTTCCGCCAAACTGCAATCTTTGTCAAGTCTTTGTCTCTACTTAATGGAACATTTTAGAGTACATATAGAAGGAAGGTTATGCTTAGATAGTAAAAAAGACATAACTTGAATGATATTTTAAAAAGATACTTGATCTCTGGCTTAATGATTCTGTTGATAGTAGTGTCATCTCACGCACCAAAAGGTTGCGGGTTTGATTCCTGGGCAGAGCGCATTTGGGAGGCAACTGATTGGTGTTTCTCTCTCTCTCCCATCCTCTCTCTCTCTTTCGGGGGAAAAAAAAAATCAGTAAAAACATATCCTCATGTGAGGATTAAGAAAAAAAACAGTTCAACTTTTTTGTTGTTAATTCTCACTCCAGGATATTTTGCACCGCTTATTTTTAGATAGAGTAGAAGGGAGGGAGGGAGAGAAAGGGCGGCGGGAGGAGAGAAACAGAAAGAAACATTGATGTGTCCACATCAATTGTTTGCCTCACCATGACTCCAACCAGGGATGGGCATCAACCCCTTGACCGTTGGGTCCACAGGTCGACGCTCTCACTGCTGAACCAAACTGGTCAGGGCAACAGTCCAACTTTTTAAAAAACGATATTTGAAGGATTATATAACTACATGTCCAGTAATTCAGATTTGATTTGCATTTCTTTGTTTTTCTGTTCAGTTAATTGACATGCTTCATATACAACATGTATGTGAGTATCTTGTGTATAATAGGAGTTGGAATAAATGTTGAGTTTGTTGAAGCCATCTAAATTTAGACTAACACACAACAGTTCATACTGATTTTGCATAAATACGTAGTAATAGGGGCTTGATTTATAATCTTGAAAATTTCTTCATGGCCCAAACCAATTTATAGTTTACACCTTAATTATGTAATGACTTATGGTGCTAATCTGGGCACCTTTAAGATATGTATATCAGATGAATTTTCGGTTGCCAAATAAGGTAGTTGTATTTTAAATGTTTTCTTTTTTTTTTCCTTTGTTATAATGTAGGTGAATGCATCCCGTCAGGATATTGAAGATGCTGAGGAAATAGCAACTCAGACTGGTAGAGGAACAGATGCCACAGAAGGACTGTTTAACATGGTCAGCATTTATTAGTGAAAGCAGGTGTACACGGTTATTTAAGTCCTCAGGGTGGGAAGAGACAGCTAATGGCATCTCTTCCTCAAGGCTTTTTCATTCAGCAAACTTGAAAGTGATATATTTTAAAGGGGGTTTCTTAAATGAAGTAGGTTGCATCCATGTTGCTAACTGTAACACGTTGGTTTATTTTTAAGGTTTGAATTTGGGTTTGGTAATGCATGCTTCACTTTTATTCTGTTATGTTTGTTTTTGTAACATTATTATTTGTGAGGGAGTGATAACTAGAAGAGCATACCAGTTTAATTTCTGTATTTTATAAGTTGTATACCTTAATGCAGCACTTCTCTACCTGGGACAGTGTCTTAAGTTGGGTTCACTGGGAGGAGGAGAGCCTGAGATGGGGATTCAGGTGCCCTTGGACAAGGGTATGAGGAAGCAGGAAAGGACAGGGGAAGGACCTAAGCAAGAGTTTGGTCTCAACTGGGAAGTAGCTACAGCCTGATCCCACCAGGAGCTCTGAAACATGATGGCACCACAGAGTTGGTCCCAGCTTGAGACAAGGGATATGCCCTTTGATGACCAGTCAGTCATTGTCAGTCATTGGCGAGGTGGGGGGGTGCGGCACTGGAAGGAGCATAAGGGCAGCTCTGGATCCTGTTCTGCTGAACACAGTTCTCTGGAGAAGGGGGCGGCTATTAGCTAATGGCAGCCAACACTCACAGGAGCTAGGGGAAGAGTCCCCTGTTCTGGGAAAGGAGACCCGGCACCAACAGTACCACCCACAGTGGGTCCCAGGAGCTTGGAACATCTGTAATGTTTGCATGGCCACGCTCTACAGTGGTCTTCAGATAAGAATGGGGCCAGGCTCTGAACAGGTGCTTTTATCTTGAATTCCACGATTGGTTCTGATTAACACCTCTGGTTGAGAGCCCCTGCCTGGAATGCTATATGTGTTTTCTTTTAAAGGAAATAATCACCTCTGACAGTTTTCCCACTAAACTACTTTTCCTGAATTTTTTAATGTCCACTTTTACATTATCTCCAAAGGATGAAGACGAAGTAACTGAACATGAAACAAAGGCTGACCCTGAAAGGCTCAGTCAGATGGTACATCCTGTCGCTGAACGCCTGGACATCCTGCTGTCTTTACTTTTGTCCTACATTAAGGATGTCTGCTATGTAGATGGTAACACTCTGTAATAGTCACAATAGCTACTGTTTATTGAATACCTGCTATGCACCTGGCCCTGTGCTGAGTGTTTTTTATGTATTATCTAGTACTGATAGAAATCCTGTAAAAATCACTATTTTGAATATGAGAAAAAGAAGATTTAGAGAGATGAAGTTACATGCCAATGTAGCATAGCTTGAAAATGGTGTCACTGGGATTCAGGCTCAGAGCCCTTGATCTTCTCACTGACTATTGTGTTAAAAGATTATGTATGGCACTTGATCAATTTTAGGTGGAGATCAGATTATACTTAAGTTCAAGACATAAGAATGGTGTAGTAGACACTGATATGTGTGCCTGGTGGTATGAAATGAGTTTAGAGGGTCTTGATACTATGACTGTTCCAGGTGTTGTTACTGAAGTGAACACATCGATATGCTTCTTGCCCTCATGGAACTTTTAGTCTAGAGGCTTTGCTGTGAAAACAGAATTTTTTTTGCTCACATTGCTTAGATTTAAGAATGAAACTCGGCTACTCGGATTAAGACTTGAATCTGAGTTGACTATGTTACTTTTAACTTTTTGTTGTTATAAAAATAGTACATGTTGACGAGAGAAAATTTGGAAACTATAGGAAAGGATTTAAAAGGCTTTTTAAATGGACACATTCCTACTATTCAGAGAACCATTATTAGCATTTTGATAACTTTGTTTTTTTCTATTAGCATATGTATGTGTATGAGTGTGTTTTTCTGTGGATTCGGGGGTCACACTATATGTAGTGTTTCATAATCTGCCTTTTCACCTATGGTGAACCTTTTCTCATTCCGTTCATTGTTCTTTTAAAACTATTGCTATTGATTTAACTGGTTCTTTTACCCCCACTCCTTCTTTTGTCATTATAAAACGGTGTAAGGAACATCCTTGTGTGTTATCTTCAGTCATTTGCTTTAATAAGTCCCTAGTAATAGAATACTGGATCAAAGGACTTCTGCCACATGAATTGTAAATTGCCCATTAGAAGGGTTCATATTTGTGGCATCAGAGCAGTGTGTCTTAGGTAAGGGCCTGCTCCCTTGCCAGAGCTAGATTATTATACTTGGACAGAAAATTTGTGCAAAATAAAAATGGCATTTTGTTTTCATCATAGCTTAATGGATGAGGTTGTATTTTTTGATGGTATTATTTTCTTTTTAAAATTTGGCAAATGAAACTGGTATTTATAAAATTGAAATACCATATTTTCTTTGTAGGTAAGATTGATATCAACAAAACAAAGGATTTATATCGAGATCTCATAATTATCTTTGACAAACTCCTGTTGCCCACCCATGCCTCCTGCCATGTACAGTTTTTCATGTTTTACCTCTGTAGCTTTAAATTGGTGAGTATGTCATTAACATTATCATAGCTTATTTTATTCTTGCCCATATTTTCCCTTAAAAACGGGGATGGAGGGAGTAGGAAAGGGAGATTACGAGGCGACTATTTTTTTTTCTTGATTCATTTTACTAGCACCACTAATAACATATCTGCCCTTTAATTGTGTGGAAAGAGCAGAGGGCATTACAGCTTTTCAGCTCAGCCAACTGCTCTGAAAACGTCATCCTGGCCCTGCTGGTGTGGCTCAATAGTTGAGCATTGACCCATGTACCACGAAGTCACTGGTTTGATTCCCGGTCAGAGCACATGCCTGGGTTTCAGGCTCAATCCTCAGTTGGGGGCGTGCAGGAGGCAGTCAGTGGATGTTGATGCTTCTCTCATGAATGTTTCTATCTCTCTCCCTTTACCTTTCTCTAAAAAAATCAATGAAAATATTTTTTAAAAACTGTCATCCTGCATTTAGTCCACTAGGTGGTATGCTTCCCTTTAATTCAAGCCTTTATTAGATTCTCATGTGGTATATTTAACTGTGTTTTTTTATTTTAATTTTTCTTTTATCCTCACCCGAGGACATTTTTGCATTCATCTTCAGATAGGGAGGGAGAGAGGGAGGAAGAGAGTGAGAGAGACAGACACATCGAGTGGTTGCCATCCACACAACCCCAACCAGGGCCGGGGACACATTGTAACCAGGTACGTGCCCTTAGCAGGAACCGAACCCGGGTGTCTCTGGACCGCAGGCCGACACTCTAACCACTGAGCCAAACCAGCCTGGGCTAACTGTGTTTTTGAAAATTACTCTCACTTGATCCTAACTAGCCCAAAACAACTCTTTAATCCACAATGTTAAAACTTTAGGCTTTGGTGTTCTGTTTTGGAAAAGAAATTATTGGACGACCCTTTCTCTTTGGAATTATATTGTAGCTTTCTAGAACAATCAGCAGGGTCATGGTAAGAAAGTTAAAATCAGTCTGTCAAAGTATATGTTAATAGTTTTTGAAAGCTATTTGGAAGAAGTTGGAGGTTGCTTCCTTTGTTAAAAAGAAGCTTAGTTTGCTGTTGTTTTTTATTCTGTGATTAGCATATTAGTCAAGTGACTGCACATACTGATGAAATTCACTCAGTACGTGGAAACACTGGAAGGTTCGTTTGCACCCTGAATGGTCCTGCGGAATGGGTTCCCATGTGAATGTGGATTATCACTGGTTTCCAGTTTTTCCTAATCCTGAGTTACTTGTAGAGCTTTTAAAATAGCTGATATCAAAGCCCTGTCACAAACCTACAGAATCTGTAGGGTTGATTTTGATGCTTAGCTTGTTTTGGGATCCACTGAATTATTTAACACTGGGGGTAGTCTTTTGTTTTTATAATATTAAGGTGTTTGTTGTTTTTTTTTTTCCTGTGGTACGTGCCCCTAGTGGGAACCGAACCCAAGACTTTCTGGTCCGCAGGCCGACACTCAACCACTGAGCCAAACTGGCCAGGGCTCTCAAGGTGTTTTAAAAATAAGAACCATGAGCCTGGCTGGTGTAGCTCAGTGGAATGAGAGTGTCATCCCACCGACTGAGGGGTCCCAGTACAATTCCCTGTCAGTGCACATGCCCGGATTGTGGGCTTGATCCCCAGTAGGGGGTGTGTGGGAGGCAGCCGATCGATGTTTCTATCTCTCTAAAAAGTCAATAAAATTTTCTTTAAATAAATAAAAATAAGAATAAATCATGACAGTATTCGTTATTTATCTAGTGATATAACTGAGATACTAGAACTTTACCACAATGGTGAGTTAAAATCTTAAGATTCTGATAGAATATCTTTTTTAATATGGGAGTTTATTTATTTATTTAATCCTCACCCGAGGACATTTTTTTATTTTTGTTCAGATAGAGTCGGGGGGAGAGAGAGACAGACAGACAGACAAACAGACATCGATGTGAAAGGGACACATCGAGTGGTTGTCACCCGCATGACTCAACCAGGGCCAGGGACAAACTGTAACCAAGGTACGTGCCCTTAGCTGGAACCGAACCCAGGTCTCTGGGACCGCAGGCCGATGCTCTAACCGTTGAGCAAAACTGGCCAGGGCTGTTTATTTATTTTTATTTTAAAATCCTCACCCAAGGATATTTTTCCACTTATCTTCAGATAGAGTGGGAGGGAGAGAGCAAGAGCAAGAAACATTGATGTGAGAGAGACAAATAGATTGGTTGCCTTCAGCACAACCCATCCGGGGCCAGTGACTGAACCGCAACGCAAGTACGCGCCCTTGACCAGAATTGAACCCGAGACTTGAACCTCTGAGCCAAACTGGCCAGGGCTGGGAGTTTATATTTTATTTATTTATTTATTGTTAATCCTCACCAGAGGAGATTTTTCCATTGATTTTTAGATAGAGTGCAGGGGTGGGGGAGAGACATCTTTTGGTTGCCTCCTGACCAGGGATGGGGATCGAACCTGCAACCCAGGTACTAGAATAATCTTAAGCATTTAAAAAGATCAGTCCACCTTGGCCAGTTTGGCTCAGTGATTGGAGCTTCGGCCTGCGGACCAGACAGTCCCAGGTTTGGTTCCTGCTAGGGGCACATACAAAAATAAAATAAATAAATAAATCAGACCAACAACTTCTTTTGTTACAGGGATTCGCAGAAGCATTTTTAGAACATCTCTGGAAAAAATTGCAGGATCCGAATAATCCTGCCATCATCAGGCAAGCTGCTGCAAATTATATTGGAAGCCTTTTGGCAAGAGCTAAATTTATTCCTCTTATGTAAGTAACCTAATTTTTCCAAATGCTTTAAAAGATAGTAGTATTGTCTTAAGTTGGAGAAATATCTACCTTATGTTTTTGGCCTGTCCTTAAAGTGAAAAAATCTATTCTCCCACTCTCTGCAAAATGTTTGTTTCCAAGAGGCAATTTCCAAATAAAATATCTCCTTTGTAAGGTATAAAACCTCATATACAAAGCTTTTGTCATCTGTTCAGTGTGATTGCACTTGAACATGAAGATCCATTTATTTCCATGGATAGTGTGCATTGTATATTGTGGCCTTTTTTTGTTTGTTTTGTTGCTAATCTTTGCCTCTGGATATTTTTTCCATTGATTCTTAGAGTGGAAGGGAGAGAGGGAGGGAGGGAGGAGGAGAGAGAGAGAGACATCGATTTAAGAGATACATTGATTGGGCCAGGGATCAAACCTGCAACCCAGGTACATGCCCTTGACCAGGAATTGAACCGGAGACCCTTCCATCTTTGGGCCGATGCTCTAACTGCTAAGCCAAACCTGCCAGGGCTGTTTTGATTCTTTTTTTATTTTTGAAAGATTTTTCACTGCTTTTTATAGAGAAAGGAAGGGAGAGGGGGAGAGAGAGACATCGATGTGAGAGCTTAACATGGATTGGCTGCCTTCTGCATGCCTTCTACCAGGGATTCAGCCTGCAACTCTGGCATGTGCCCTGACCTGGACTTGAACGGGTCATCTTTTGGTGCACAGGAGGACACCCACCTACTGAGCCACACTGGCCAGAGCTGTTTTCATTTTTTTGATTTGCATTCTGCATCAATTGTGTCTGTTAAAGCGGGAGAATAAAAACCTTTTAAAGGTAATAGATCTATGTAGGAGGCCAGCTCTGGGCCTATTTCAGTGATCCATGAAGATATCTTTGGGTGAGGATGCTGTCAGAGACCCTTCCTCAACAACTAAAAGCTGTCTGGCCATTCTGTTCTAATTTGTTGACACAGGATTTCATTAGAGAATGGTGAAATCAACCAGAGTTTCTCTTTCCCTTATAAGCTGTTGGTAAACATGCCCTATTTAGCCAAATCTTTCTGAGAGGGCTGGGAGGGCATTCTGAGTTGATAAAGAGAGACTTCTCCATCTCTTGGGACTGAAGGCATCCCTATCTTTCCTATCGTCACACCACCTACTCCACTTTGTCCTTTGTTTGCTTCTCCTCTCTGCCCCTGGGTAATATATAAAGAAACCTATGGACTGACTTTTCTTAGTTTGTAATGAGAGGAAATTGTGTATTTTATGTCATTAGTTTTTTAATGAAGCCAGTGGAGTTGACTTGAATTTTTCTTTTCTCTAGTACTGTAAAATCATGCCTAGATCTGTTGGTTAACTGGCTGCACATATACCTTAATAACCAAGATTCGGGAACAAAGGCATTTTGTGATGTTGCTCTCCATGGACCATTTTACTCAGCCTGCCAAGCTGTGTTCTACACTTTTGTTTTTAGACACAAGCAGCTTCTAAGTGGAAACCTTAAGGAAGGTCAGTGATGTGGGATTGATGGATATGAACTGGATTTTCCTTGTATACTAGTCACCCTTTAGAGTGGAGCGTTGTTATTTTTTTGAGACTTGGATGAAAACTCTGGAGTCAGAAAACCACACATGCATACAAACTTTTATAAATAATTTCAAACAGTTTATAAGTCCCTAAAGACTCCTCAAGTCTTCTAGTAATAGTTGATGGATTAGAGGTTGAGAACCTCCACTTTATGAAAATGTTCTACTTCCAAGGTGAGGCCGAGCACTTGTACTGGGCCAGCACCATGCCCAGAGCTTCCTATTCACCCCTCCTTGTCCTTATAATATGGCCCAGTGAAGGGCAGGTGTCATTCCCACTTCACAGAGGAGACCAAAGCACAGGGAAGTAATTTATTGGCCGGATTAGAAATTGAAACCAGGTTGGCTGTAAAGCTATCATAACAATTATGCACCTTTATCTAAAGACTTGAGTAAATTTACTGGTTCTCAGTTTTGCTAATTTCTAAGGGTTTATTATTTAAATCAGAGTTTCTTAATGCGCTACTGACATTTGTGCTGGACAATTTGTTGTGGAGGCTGCCTTTGCATTGTAGAATGGTTAGCAGCCCTCTTCACCCTTTAACCACTAGATGGCACTAGTACCCCTCCTTACCCTCCATTGTGACAACTAAAACTCTCCAGATACTACCAGATGTCCTCTCAGGGACACAATTGCCTTGAGTTGAGAACCACAACTCTAAAGTGAAACTTATATGTATTGTATTATATATATTTACTTAGACCTTGTATACTTCTGAACAGATGTGGGGATATGAAATTAATCATATGAACTAGTAGTAAGACAAGGTTTTATAACAAAGCAAATAAAATCTCTACATTTCTTTGTGTGAATAAATGATAAGATTCTTGGTTAAATAGTATTTCTCTTATGCCATGGCATCCTTTTTGTTTTTTTAATGTAATGTAATTTTATTATTTTTATTGATTTCAGAGAGAGGAAGGGACAGGGAGAGATAGAAATGTCAGTGAGAGAGAACCATCTATTGGCTGCCTCCTGCACGCCCCCTTCTGGGGATGGAGCCCAAAACCCAGGCATGTGCCCTGACTAGGAATTGAATAGGTGTCCTCCTGGTACATGGGATGTTGCTCAACCAACTGAGCCACACTGGCTAAGCACCAACCCATTTTTATAAATTATTTATTGATTGATTTGAGAGAGAAAAATTGATGTATTGTTTTATTTATTCATGCGTTCATTGGTTGATTCTTGTATGTGCCCTGACCAGGGATTGAACCTGCAAACTTGGCTTATGTGATTGGGTTTCTAACCAACTGAGCTACCTGGCCAGGGCCTGCCATCCCATTTTTAGTAATTTTAATCAAAATATACATCAAAGAATCTCCTAACAAAATGTACTTAAGCACAGGTTGGTTTGCTTGCCTCTTAAAATAGGTGTGGTGTCTTTCTTTTACTAATATAGGAGAGAATTGTTTATTAATTCCAGAACAGTGAAACTGTCTAATTTTTTCTTCTATATCCATAGTTTTCTTGTTTAAAAAAATGTGGAATACAAATAAATAATGCTTATTTAAAAACATGCCCGTTCCCGGCTGGTGTGGCTCACTGGTTGAGTGTCGACCCATGCACCAAGAGGCCACTGGTTCAATTCCCGGTCAGGGCTCATGCCCAGGTTGTGGGCCTGATCCCCAGTGGGGGCATGCAGGAGGTGGCCCATCGGTGTTCTCTCTCATTGATATTTCTCTCTCCCTCTCTCTAACATAAAAAGAAAAACCAACATGCTCAACTTTACTAATAAGTTAAGACATGCAAGTCTTATTGGTTTTTTTGTTGCCGTTGTTGCTTATCAGATTGGCATATATATACAGTATATGGAATTTAGGAAGGAGAAATTTGTATACTCTCCAGTGATTACCTCCAGGCATTGGAGACTCACTTTATTGCCAGAACTTGTTAATGATTACATGATTGTTAGCTGAAGTCAAATCACTGGTCTTTAAACGCACGGATTTCAAATTGTCATATAAACTTATAGCCTACTTTGAAGTCCTGGGTCTTTTTATTTATTTTTTAATCCTCTCCTGAGGATGTTTTTTCCATTTATCTTCAGATAGAATGGGAGGTAGGGAAAAAAAGAGAAACATCAATGTGAGAGGGACACATTGATTGGTTGCCTCCCGCACCACCCTGACCAGGGCTGGGGACCAAACTTCAATTGAGGTATGTGCCCTTGACCAGAATCGAACCCACAACTAGTTGGTCCATAGGCTGATGCTCTAACTGCTGAGCCAAACTGGTCAGGGCCTGGGTCTTTAAAAGAATAAACAGTTTTCTTTAGAAAAGTTGTCCTAGTCATAAACAGATGTACTTAAACCTTGTGATGTACTTCTGGGCTTCACATTATATGACTTTTTTTTATCCTCACCCGAGGACATTTTTCCATTTTTGTTCAGATGGTGGGGGGGGAGAGAAAGAGAAACATTGACGTGAAAGGGACACATCGAGTGGTTGCCATCCGCATGATCCAACCAGGGCCGGGGGGGACAAACTGCAACCGAGGTACGCGCCCTTAGCGGGAACCGAACCCGGGTCTCTCTGGATCGCAGGCTGACACACTCTAACCGCTGAGCCAAACCGGCCAGGGCCACATTATATGACTATTTACATGGACCTTTATTTAGAGCAATTCTATAAATAACTTTTTTTTTTTTTAATTTATTCTCACCTGAGGACATTTTTCCATTTTTTTTGTTCAGATAGAGTGGGAGGGAGAGAGAGAGAGAAACATCGACGTGAAAGGGACACATCGAGTGGCTCCTACCCACACAACCAACCAGGGCCGGGGACAAACTGCAACCAAGGTACATGCCCTTAGTGGGAACTGAACCAGGGTCTCTCCGGACCGCAGGCCAACTCTAACTGCTGAGCCAAACCGGCCAGGGCTATAAATAACTTTTAACTCATGAAAAAATTGGTGCTGCTTAGGAACTGTTATCTTTGTATCTTTTTAAAACTATATTTTTTTAATCACAGGTTTGAGGTACCTTCAAAGTCTAAATTTTGAACGTATAGTGATGAGTCAACTAAATCCTCTGAAGATTTGTCTGCCCTCGGTAGTTAACTTTTTTGCTGCAATTACAAGGTAAGTTATTTGTACTTTATTAGTGGAAGTTATTTGGTGTAAACTTATGTTGGTATTAGTATTGTAAAATTTCAGGACAATTGTAAAATTACAATTCCATTACATTTCTTTGAAACTATCCAATAAAATTGGATAACAAGCATTTAAAAACCGGAAATCTAATACTTGCAGGGCACACTACATTGTAGCTATTGTTTTTATACTTCGGTACATTGGAAATTGCTAGTAATTTTTATCCAGAGAGGATAATTTAATAGAAGCCTAGACACTTTGAAATAAGTAAGGCGAGTAGTAATTTGAGAGGTACAAACCAAAGATGTTTATAAGAGTGAGTCCTATAATAGTTATAAAAATAGACTGGACATGAGATAAATCACCCAACAATAGGGGACTGGCTTAGTGAGGGACTATATTATCTTCGGCCTTGTAGCTACAGCTGATGCATAGTTTTACTGTTTGCCTGGCATAGCTCTATGTGTGTTACGTAGAATTTACTGAAACTTTACACAATCCTATGACTGTATTATTAACCCCTGTTTATAAGTAGGAAGATGGAGGCACAGAGACTAAATAACTTCCATGAAGTCATAGCTAGACTGGGGCAGAGCTAAGACTTGAATGCAGGCAGTCTGGCTCCTTTGTAAGCATTTACTGAATTATTCTGCTTCATGTAGATGGTGCATTGGAGACCTTGGGCATTTGATCAGCATAGTCAGGACAGGATCATAGCTTTAAATCTTCAACAGATAAGAGTTTGTTCTATTAAAAGAAAAATGATATATCCCTAGTCCCTTTTAGACAACTTGCTGTTCTCATTCATCAGTCTTATTTTTCCTTTGTTGAGCATCTAGTTCAAGGTTTTCTTTCTCCTGAGATCTCAAAAATGGTAAAGAGTTAAAAGGAATAAAGAGACCAATAAGGAATCGTGTTCAGTGGATGAAGGTTACAGCACATTGTGGGAAGCCTGAGCACTGATGGAGCAAAGCAGAGGCAGCTGCCCCTCGAATAGTCTCAGGGAGGGAGTAGGGGCTGCAGTGGATGAGCAGACTGGTCAGAGAGGCTCTAGACTTGGGGTTGGAGTTAGCAACAGAGGTTAAGAGTAAGGTGCGATGCTAAGAGAAGAGATTGAAATAAAGTTCTGTGTCCAGCAATTTATGTATCATTCTGTAGCTGCTGCTTTTGCTTTTTTTACAGTTTTAAGATTCATTATCAACTCATACATCTGTGTTTTGATTTTAACTGTTGTGTAATGTTCTGTTACTTTTTTAAATCGATTCCTGTTGGGGTTTAAGCTGTTAGCTTTCAGTATTGGGAACAGCAGCTTAGAGACACGGTTGTATGTCCTGGTGCAAAGGCACACACTCTCTGTTGCCCGGAAGTACAGCTGCTGCATTGTAGGAGATGCACATTATGAACTTGACCAGATATAGCACACTGTACTTCAGCATTTTGCCAATTTACCCTCCAGAAGTAGAGTCAAATGCGATCCTTGGGTATTGGAACAGAAATAGACACATGTCACTTAAAATTATAATAGTAACCCAAGAATCCGAGAAGATACACCTGACTGAAGACTGGGAGGGAGTGTAGAAGTAGAGAGTAGCAGATGTGAGCTAAATCTTCACCTGAGAGAAGCTGTCTAATAATGATTCAAGTTGCCAAGTCATATGGAGGTAACCACCAGAAGAATTGACAATACAGTGATACCTCGGTTCTCGAACGCCTCGGTTTTCGACCAAATCGGTATTCGACCAGGAGATTCGAGAAACTTTTGTCTCGGAATCCGAACAAATATTTGGAACTCGAACTTCCGAGATGAGCCGAGTTGAGCCGAATGGCATTCATTCGGCCCAGCGCGCCTTGCTTGCGTCATCAGTGTGAGTGCAGAGAGAGAGTCACGCTTTGTGGAGTCACGCTTTCCTATTGGGTTTCATTGCTTCGGTTCTCGAGCAATTCGGTTCTCGACCGTCCTCCTGGAACGAATTATGTTCGAGAACCAAGGTATCACTGTATAGTGATTCTGTTGGTTTTTTGTTTTTTTTTTTTAATCCTCACCCGAGGACATTTTTGCATTTTTTGTTCAGACAGAGTGGGAGGGAGAGAGAGGAAGAGAGAGAGAGAGAGAAACATCGATGTGAAGGGACACATCGAGTGGTTGCCACCCGCACGACCAACCAGGGCCGGGGACAAACTGCAACCGAGGTACGCGCCCTTAGCGGGAACCGAACCCGGGTCTCTCTGGACCGCAGGCCGACGCTCTAACCGCTGAGCCAAACCGGCCAGGGCTGTTGTTTTTTATCATGAGTTCTTCAATATATTTAACTTGTTTACTCGCTATACCTGTTCCTTTCTTTACCATTTTCTTTTTTAAATCCTCACCGAGGATATTTTTCCACCTATCTCCAGTCAGAGTGGGGGAGTGGGGAGAGAGAAATATCGATGTGAGAGGGACACATCATTTGGTTGCCTCCTGAGCCAAACCAGCCAGGGAAAGACAGCTATATATTTTTTGCAAACAGGGGAAAGTTTTACCTAAAAGCATTACTTTGCTTTATGTTTTTTTCACTTGTTATATTCAGCGATATCTGCGCGGTCACTATAGTTGTCACACATGAGCAGACATGTTCATGCAGAGTAACTCCAGCATGCTAATGCCTCTGTCTGTGTTGTTTCTGTTGTTCCACAGTAAGTACCAACTGGTCTTCTGTTACACTATCATTGAGAGGAACAATCGCCAGATGCTTCCAGTTATTAGAAGTACAGCTGGAGGGGACTCGGTGCAAACCTGCACAAACCCACTTGACACCTTCTTCCCCTTCGACCCTTGTGTGCTTAAAAGGTATGTACTCTTAGCCAGTCGGCCTGTCGGTGGTGAATTTAAATGCATTGTGTATTTCCCTTTCCCAAGATTGGGATATAGAATTTCTTTGTTATAGTGGCCAGCCATTCCTAGTTGTTTATAAAGTCATAGTCACCGTGCACATACTTCACAGGCCCAAAGCAGAGAAAGCCTTTTAGAGTCTGCTGAGTGTTATAGGCACGCTAGAGTTTGTGGATCTTTGCCCCATTAGGAACCCAGTTTGACATCAAGCGTTTTTTAATTTTCTTTAAATCTGTTGGTTTAAACATACAAGGTGCTCAGATAGGGAGGATGATGTCTTTTCATGGCTCATAATTTTCTTCCAGTGACTTGTTCCTTCCTCTAGAGACCACAACCCATGCACAGGTAAACAAAAGCCAAGAGATTTATTTTGATAGATAATTCCGGGAAACCACCAAGCTAGTATTAACTTTGCATTTGTTTAAGGAAGCAGAATTTTTGCTTTATTCATTTCTAACCAGCAACACAACAATTTGGGCTTACCTGTTTTCCCCAAGTCTTGGTTGACTAAAACCAGATAGGTCTTTTTTCCCCAGACTTATTTTTAGTACATTGCTATAAGAATATTTAAAAAGGATATTCCAGAATAATATAACTTTGTTTTCATTTGGATACACTATAACTCATTGTCAATCTGTGCAAAGTTGAGAAACAATTACATTTGAAAATGAAAAGATGAGAAACAGTTGGTATAATACTCCATCTATATGAGTGGGTGAACTCTTACAAAGAGGAAGCCACATTAGTTACAGTACTTACATAGGGTTGTTTTTTTTTGACACATTTGGAGCCATAGTTTTCACTTCATTTTGGGTACTAGGTCTTGTGAAAGAAGAGCTAAGTTTGCTCTGACCTTCACTGTGCTATTTAGCTTGATTTTGAAATATGATCTTGTTGACAGGTCAAAGAAATTTATTGATCCTCTTTATCAGATATGGGAAGACATGAGTGCAGAAGAGCTTCAGGAGTTTAAGAAACCCATTACAAAGGTAAATTTGTGATTCAGCTCACTTTTTGGGAATCTCTTGTGTGGTTACGGATCACAGTCAAATAGTAAATAGCGATGTTACCCTTAAAAATGGAATATTTTATTCATTCTGCCTTTGTAAAATTGCAAGTTCAGGATATGTTCTTATGAAAAGAGGTTTTGGTATTTTTTGATGAATTATTTAAACCAGACACTTCACACATTTACTTTGGGAGGTGAAGGTTAATGAAAAATTAGCTCAACAAATTTAGATCTTTACCACTTGATCATTACCACCAGGTAACAATGGCAAATTTACTATGTTGACATTATAAGTAACACCATAATTTTGTAGCGGTTAACACTGATTTTGTAGCTCTTCATGAATAGGTGGTAAAGATGCAGGTCTGTAGCATGACTGCCAGTGCATGTCAGATGGAGATGAGGCTGTTACTGCCAAAGGAGAAAATTAGAATTCAATAATAAATGAGGTCATAGTTTGTTTTTGTTTTTCTTTATAGATCTTAGAGAGGAAAGGAGAATGAGAGAGAAATAGCAACACCGATGAGAGAGAACACCAATTGGCTTCCTCTTGTATGCCCCCCACTGGGGATTTGGCCCACAGCCTGGGCACATGCTCTGACCGAGAATCAAACCAGTAATCTCTTGTTGCATGGGTCGATGCTTAACCACTGAGCCACACCGGCCGGGCTCACTGTTTTTTGTGGTACAGTTCTTTCCACATTAAAAGTCAGCTTTATGTGCCTGTCTCCTTTTTCTGAAGGAATCATTAGAAAGCTCATTTTATTATTTTTCCTCATATTTTGCATTTGAGGCCACCATTCATTCATTCAGTCATTCATTCACAGTGTTAGATACAAGGGTTATAATAGTGAACAAGAATGATATATCATGTTACCTGCCCTCACTGAGCTTAAATCTGTTAAAAAATCAGACTTTAAACAAATAAATTGTGATGAGCAATTGAGAAGTGTGTACACATCAGAGGAACCTTTTTTAAAAATATTTTTTATTTATTTTTATTTATTTTGGCTTCAGAGATTAGAGAATATCTAAGCCTTTCAGGTTAGTATGAAGTTAGACTTTTTTTTTAATCCTTACCTGAGGATATTTTTTCCATTGAATTTTAGAGAGAGTGGAATGGAGGGGGGGTAGGGAAGGAGAGAGAGAGAGAAACATTGATGTGGAGAGAGACATTGATTGGTTGTCTTCCACATGTGCCCCGATGGGGTTGGGAATCAGACCCATTATCCTTTCACATATGGGGCTGGTGCTGTAACCACTGATCCACACTGGGCAGGGCAAGATTTTTTTTATTGATTTTTAGAAAGAGGAAGGGAGTGGGAGAGAGAGAGAAACATCAAGGTGACATCTCTCTGATGCCTCCTGCATGTTCCCACCAGGGAACCAGCAACCTTTCAGTGCACAGGACAACACCCAACCAAGCCACAGTGGTCAGGGCATCAGAGGAAGTTTTTGAAATTAAGATAATTGCCACCTGTGATCTTATTGATAATCTCTGTTCTTCTGGCAGGAGGTGGTAGAAGATGAAGATGATGACTTTTTGAAAGGTGAAGTTGGGATTACTCCGAGCTCCTTTGACACGCATTTCCGAAGTCCTTCAAGTAGTGTGGGCTCCCCACCAGTGTTCTACCTGCCAGACCATTCCCCTCTGATTGCAAGGATTTGTGATTGAGACGAACACCCTCCTGCTTTTCAGTACCTGGGCTCATCCTCTTTGAGCTTCACATGGAACTAGTACCTGCCTCAGGCAGCTTATTTTAAGTTAGACTTACTCTCCTGCCCGAAAAGACATGTTTTTTTCTTTTGCTCCTGTATAGACAAAAGGAAAAGACTGAATATCATGTGCAATATTTTACAATGGAGTCGATGATAAATGTTGAAGTCTTGGCTTTGTTTGTTTAATGTATACTTTTTTTGTGTGTTAACAGCTTTTTGACATAATTATTGTGAAATCTCTAGTATTGGCAACAGCCTGTTTTAACAGATTGCATTTTTAACATAGGTTTTGGTCAGAGCTGTAGTCATAGGATTTTGCTGATCAGTGAAAATCCTCCAGGACACTATTTAAAGTCTTTAGAATGAGTTTATTTGGGGTACATTGTTTACTTTCTGCTGCAACTACTTGTGCATTGGGATTCAGTGAGGTGCAAAGAAGATTGGAGGAAATTGGGGAGATGGCTGGAGCTGGCTCCAAATGCTGAAAGTTGGAGATCTCCAGGAACCTCAGAGACCAGTAAGAGCCTGGAGGGAAGAGAGAGGATTTAGAAAAAAAGATTCAGACAAGTGATATACTTGTGAGTGTAAAAATTGATTTAATAGAAAAATGGAGTTCCAGGTAAAAGTAATTTACATTGACTGTAAGGGGGGTTAGACTTTTACAAAATACAGTACAGAGTATTTTACCCTGAAGCTCCCCACAATGCTGTTAGAACTGGAATTACTCGTTTGTAGTGGATTATTAACATGGATTTTTTAAAAAAACAATTAGTAGACCAGTTCTCATTTTGAAAACTTCTTGGGGCATTTGGGGTGTATTTTAGGTTACTTAGTGGGGTGGTTTTGCTAGCAACAATAGGCCAAGGTTACAGCTACAGTCTCTGTCCATTGGCTATTTGTATCATGGATTCAGCTCAGTGAAATCCTCTGTCCAGGTTCTTTTTGTATTTTTATAAATAGACACAGATAGAGGAGTTTAAACAAACTTTATAACAAATTTGTGCAGGCACTGCTAGATTCATTTTGAAGCTCATGAATATTTTAGCTTCGTTTCTTTGTGTCCTTTTTTGTTACTTGTGAAAATGAACATCTTTAAACATTTATTTTTTGCCACTTTCCCTATTTTTTATTTAAAGCAAATAATATTTTGTAATGAAATATTTTCTCTTTCCTAGGGCTTTATGTGCTCTTGTATATTATAATATATTGATGGCACTGTAGAGTTTGAATTTCAGTCTGTAAATATGTTTTTGGAAAATAGAAAATTTTATTGCTTTAAAAAGTTTTGGATATGGTGATTTTTTTGGTGACTCGATGGAAAGTCTTGAGAACCTTTAGGTTCTCTGTTTTTTTAACTGCTGGCAAAAAGGTGAGATTTTTGTATACTGGATAAAATGAAATGTGTCCATAGAAATTAATGATAAGTGGGGTGTTTGTGGGTTGGAACGTAGCTTTAATGTAGAGGGCTATATTTATAAATAAGTGTTAAATTTCAAAGGAGCTTGAGAAGAAAACCCATTGTGACAATAAAACAATGACATGGTTAATCTGAGACTTGTTTGTATGCCAATAAATGGAGGTGCCCTAAGAAAGAGGCTTCTCACACAAATGTTCTTTTGACTTTTTAAACTAATCTGTATCAAAACATTTTGCAATGGAAAACTGCAACTGCAACTTTATTAAAAAGGCAAAAATATTGCCAGTGTGATTCATTGTGATTGGGAATGCTCAAAAATAATTTACATGTTGGTGATGAGAATGACTTCCAGGTGCATCTGAAGTGTCAGTGACTCCTTTTGATCACAACCAGCCAAGAGTGACTGAGGCTTGCACTGGTCCAAGGAAACACACACTTCAAAAATGTATATGCTTTGAAGGAACATCTCCAGGGAAAAAATAATTGTGAAATCTTTTGGGAAATTATATGAAAACAAGAGATTTTCTGTTCCTCTTACTGACAAGTAGGCTTTCAATAGGTATAGGAGAACCAGGGTCCATCTTTTTGTGTCTGCTATGGTTGGGTCTTCCTTAATGAGAAGTGGCTTCTCTTTCTAACCAGGTGTGACTTAACATTCTTCAAAGCTCTAATTTTATTGAACTGTCAAGGAACTAATACCTATTCTAGGGTTGTGAGGAATCGGTGCAAAAGCATGTAAAGTCAGTTCATAACTGTTTACCGACCTTGTGAGAAAGTCTAAAGCGGGAAGCACTTTCATGGAAAAAATCTTTTCAAGACAAAATAACTTCTATTTCATCCACTTTGCTTCTTCCTTGGTACCAACTTAAGAGATCTCAACTGGAGCGGAAGGGCCAGAGTGTTCGCCCTGCCAAACACTACTTACTATGGTGGTTTTTAACTCTTGTTGCTCTTGCGAATTTAGAAAAAGAAGTGGAATATAAAATGATTATATTTTAATTTTTGCTCTGTGTGACATGGCTCCTCCATCTCACCACTGTCTTTTACTTGTTTTTTGTTTATTTGATTTTTGGTTAATACTCACCTGAGGATATTTTCCATTGATTTTTCAGAGAGAGCTTGAGGGAGGGAGAGAGAGAGACATAGATGTGAGAGAGACAGATCTATTGGTTGCCTCCCAAAGGACACCCACTGGAGCTGGGGAAGGAACCTGCAACCCAAGTGCCCTTGATTGGGCATAGACCCTGGGACCCTTGGGTCTGCAGATCAATGCTCTAGGCAAACCAGCCAGGACTTTTTTTTTATTTTATTTTTTGAGGGAGAGAGAGAAACATCCATCTGCTGCCTCCTGCTGGGCATCGACCCAATCACCCTGGCATGTGCCCTGAGCAGAAATGAACCGCGAACCTTTAGGTGCACAGGACTGATGCCCAATCAAACTGAACCACACCTGCCGTGGCCACTGTCTAAAAAATTACTTTTTAGCCCTGGCCGGTTTGGCTCAGTGGTTAGAGCGTCGACCTGCGGTCCGGAGAGACCCGGGTTCGGTTCCCGCTGAGGGCACGTACCTCGGTTGCAGTTTGTCCCCGGCCCTGGTTGGTCGTGCGGGTGGCAGCCACTCGATGTGTCCCTTCACGTCGATGTTTCTCTCTCTCTCCCTCCCTCTCTATAAATAAATAAATAAATAAATAAATAAATAAATAAATAAATAATTACTTTTTGTGCCTTGGCGCGTTTGGCTCAGCGGATAGAGCACCGCCCCCCCCCTCCCACCAATGAGTCACGGTTCCGTTGGGTCAGGGGTAGGGACCTCGGTTGCGGTTCCACCAGGCCCTTCCTGTTCCGGGTCCTGTGGGGTCCATGTGTCTCTCACATTGATCTTTCGTGCTCTCCCTCCCACTTTATCTGAGGATAAATGGTAGAATACCCTTGGGTGAGGATTTTTTTAAAATTATTTTTTGTTAATGTAGTGTGGAGTTGGGTCTATTGGAGTGATAGTTCCAAGTTTTAGAATACAGAACTCTGCCCGGCACCAAGGTACCACCCTCAGTGGGGACTGGATGCTAACTCGCTGATCTCCACTCCCACTAGGAGTGCCTACTGGTAGTTACTGATGGTTTCTAAATGTGGGGCTAGCAAAGTTCAGGCTCCATTTTCCCAGTTTGAGACTGGTGTGCGTTTGTTTGTTTGTTTGTTTGTTTATTTATTTATTTATTTATTTATTTATTTATTTATTTATTTTATTGTTGAAAGTTTTACAGATGTCCCGGTTTTTTCCCCACTGATCACCATCCCCTTCCCGCTCTCGCCCCGCTCCTGTGTGCGTTTATTATTCACTAAATACAATCCTATGGTGCAGGTTCCCAAACTCGGACTTGCTCAAGGTCACGATTAGATGTGGTGGAGCCGTGCTGGGAACCGAAGCAGAGAGCCCCCGGACCCCCGCACTCAGGCCTCGTCACCTGACCGGGAACTGACTAGGGCTCTGAGAGCAGCTCCCCTCCCTTCATCCCCGTTCTTTCAAGACTACATCTGCCAGCGCCCCTGGCGGAGAGGCCGTCCCCCGCCCTCAACCTCGCGTCTAGACTACACTTCCCAGGGGGCCTTGCGGCCGCCCGAGCTGTCCTCAGCCTCTTGGGGCTGCTCGGACTCCATTTCCCGGCGGCGCCCGCGGCGGGGCGGGGCGGGGCGGCCGGGGCGGGGGCGGCGGGCGGCCCGCGGCTGGGGAGGCTGTCGCCTCCCTGGGCCTGCCCGGGCGGCCGCCTCCGCGATGCCGCTGCTGGTCGAAGGGCGGCGAGTGCGGCTGCCTCAGACCGCCGGGGACCTCGTTCGAGCCCACCCGCTTCTGGAGGTGAGCATGGCCCGGGCGGGGGGCTGCGAGGGGACCTGAGCCCTCCTCACCCCGCCGCCACCACCCGCTCTCCCCCGAAACAGACTTTAAACTTGGCACCGCCGAGGTGCTGCGGCCGCGGGCAGCCGACTTTCTGCCTGCGCTGGAGGCGTCTGAGGAGCTCTTACCTTCGGACCTCAGAGGGCATCCGCCGAGGCCCCTTTTTCCAGAGCACGGGACGGGGGCCCAGAGAGGTTAGGCGCCTTGCCCAGGGTCGCACAGCACCGCGGCTGGAGGACACCCCGGGACCCCCCGTTCCCAGGCGCAGTCCCAACCCCAGTCCGGACTTGGCCCCGGGAGGCAGACCTGGAGCCGCCCTTGCTCGCTGGGAGCACCGCGGGCACCCCAGCCCGAGTGAGCGCTGCATCGTTTGGGGTCCTGAGGGAGCAGGCGGTTATTCCGGGGCGGGCGCGGACAGCGTTTGGGCAGGGGTATCCTGCAGGGCCCCCCGCCGCCCCCCTCCCGGGGCTCCAGTTATTTTTAGCCAGAAGAACGGGCCCTGCTTTTCGTCTGCTGGGCCGACTTGGGGGCCACGCCCTGATGGCAGGGCTGTGTTTTGTTTTCCTGTTTTTGCCCTCAAACAGATCCCTGAAACCTTAGTCCACGCTCATGCAGAAACTGTTTGCAAAGTGGTTTTTACTGTTAAAAAACAAAAAGAAAAAAGATGGGGGACCAAACCTCCCGCTTGCCCCAGTTGAGGGGGGATCAGTCCATTGATGTAAGCAACACTTATTAAGCCCTCATCTGTGTGGGCACCATCCCAGGTTCGCCGTCCCTGCGAGCAGGGCAGTCGCCGTCTCGTGGGGGAGGGGTGACGCAGCGGCTCCGAGGCCGGGAACCGTAAGGGCCGTGCGGGAAGACCGCCCTCCGCTCCGCGCCGGGAGGTCGGGCGCCGGCCCGTCCGCCTCAGGCTCTGGGCAGGTATGGGGGCGGTGCTCCTGAGGTTCCCTCTCTGCAGTTGCCGGTCGGAATCATTTTGTGCGCATATTACTTTTCTCCCTTGATCTGCCCCCTGCCCCCCACCTCCCATGGACGCTTCCTGAAGGCAGAACAGAGTCTTTGGTTTGTGCCCTCAGACCCTGGGACAGTGGGAGAGGAGCCTGGAAATGGGTGCGCTCCGTAAATATGTGTTACATGAATGAGTGAACAAAATGACCCGGAGGGGGAGGAGGGGTTACTGACGGGGAAAGGGGGACAACTCTGCCATTCTCAACTTTCACTGCAAGAGAGCAATAGTAATAGTTGTCAGCACATGCGAGTATTTCGCGGAGTACTGTGCTAAGCACTCTCCTTGTACTGTGTTAAGCACTCTCCTTGTACTGTGTTACTGTCAACCATTATCTCGCGAAGTCACAAGTAGAACTCACCAAGGGACAACATTTCAGCTGTCTAAAAAATTTGGGTGAAACTCTATTTTTATGTCTGAAAATTTCTATGACAGAAAGTTAGAAAGATCAGTGTTTGAGACAGTACACTAAGGGTGGAGAGGGTGTGTGTGTGTCGGGGGGTGATGTAGGGACATACCAGGGCAGCTAGCCCCTTGAAGGGAGGTTTGCCTATTTAGGGAGACATGGCCTAGAAATGTGTAGTGGGGACACATTACAGGAACGTGAAGAAGGGAAGGTCACTTTCATTTGCAGCGGTTTAAGGGAAGGAGGATGGAGGCATGAGAGAGATTTCAAAAGGAGAAGAGGGAGGGCAGTCTAGCTGACTGTGCTCTGATGGGCAGGAGGGGAAGGTCCTGAGGGCAAGTGAACTGGCCAGTTTCCTTGTGCAGAGAGGGTAAGTAAGAAGGGGAAGACTGAAGATAAGCTGGAGAGGTAGGTCGTACCTGGATTAGAGGGGTTTGGATGGATCTTTCAACAAATAAGCAGTGAAGGGAAATGAAAGGTAGTGTATTCACTTTGTAAAAAAGGAAACAAATAAATACAAATGTCAAAAAGAAGAAAAAATAATCTATGACCACAACCACTCTTCACATTTCAGTAAATATCCTTACAGAGATTTTTCTTTTGTATGATATACTTTTAAAAATGAGAGCCTACTATATATTGTTTTATGATGTTCACGTAACAGTATGCAGTGTCAACAGTTAGAAGCTTGTCTCTAGCTATGTCTAGCATAGAATAATAACAGTAGTGCAGCCCTGGCCAATAGCTCAGTCGGTTGGAACTACCCAATATACCAAGGTTTTAGGTTCAGTCCCCAGACAGGGCACATACGAGAGTCAACCAGTGAATGCATAAGTAAGTGGAACAGCAAATTGATGGTTCCCTCTCCTCCTTCCCTCTCCCTTTCTCTCTAAAATTACTTATTAAAAAAAAAATAACAGTAATGCAGTGGAACTTGCTGAGCACCACTGCCCTATGAAGGAGGTGCTAGTGTTATTCACATTTTACAGGTGATGGCTGTGAGCCATAGAGCGGTTTAGTGAGTTGCTCAAAGTCCCACATTCTGTAAGTAGTGTGGCCTGGAATGGAAACCTGGCGTCTGCCTTTGTCTCTCTTGCTGCACTGCTCAGTGTTGTAGCCACCAGCCACATGTGGCTGTTTACACTTAAATTAAACTTTATTTATTTTTTTATCCTCACCCAAGGACATATTTCCATTTTTTGTTCAGGTAGAGGGGGAGGAAGAGAGAGAGAAGCATTGACGTGAAGGGGACACGTCGAGTGGCTGCCACCCGCACGACCAACCAGGGCTGGGGACAAACTGCAACCAAGGTACGTGCCCTTAGCGGAAACCGAACCCGGGTCTCTCTGGTCTGCAGGCTGATGCTCTAACCGCTGAGCCAAACCGGCCAGGGCTAAATTAAACTTTAAAGATCAGTTCCTCAGTTGAACTAACCACAACAGCCACATGTGACTAGTGAGTGGCTAGTGGCTACTGTATGAGATAGCGCAGGTACAGACAATTGCCATCCTTTGGGCAGTGCTATCTAGAGTCTGCTCTTAACCAGTCACTGGATGCTCAAGTAAGCAGTCTTGCAATATCTTGTTAAATGGTTCCACAACATGAATGCACTGTAACTTGGTTCTTTTAAGCATGTAAGATACTTATAATCTTTCACTATTATGAAAAATTACAGAGCTAAATTTTTATAAACCCCATAATTATTCCTTCAAGTGAAATTGCTGGGCTCAGAAAGGTTTTTTGAAGCAGAAAAGTGATATAACAAAGTCAGTGTTTTGAAGCAGTGATGTTGGCTGGCAGCCATTGGGGAAGATAGAAGGAGACCTCACAGGGGGTGGGGATGGGGGTGTCAAAGAAATGGGTAGGGAATGATGACAGCCACTCCTTACAAACATGCTCTCAGTTAATCCTCACACAACCTAAGGAGTGGCCAGCATCATCCCCATTTTCCAGAGGAGGAGGTGGAAGCACAGAGGGTCAGGAGTATGCCCAAGATCACTTGGTGAAAGGCAGGGGACTCCAAGGCCAGCATTGTCTTGCCCTCTATCTCTGCCGCTCATAAATTCTATGGCAGGAATTTTTTTATTAAACATTTTTTTTTTTCTTTTACTGATTTTAGAGAGAGAAGTGAGAGGGAGAGAGAGAGAAACATTGATGCGAGAGAACATCGATTGGCTGCCTCCTGCTTGCCCCCCACTGGGGATTGGGCCCACAACCTGGGCATGTGCCCTGACCGGGAATTGAACTGGCAACCTCTTGATGCCTGGGTTGATGCTCAACCACTGAGCCACACCGGCCAGACTTATGGCAGGAATTTAGATACGAGATCACGAGGGACTGAAATAAGGTAGCACAGTGGGAAAGAAGGCTCAGTTTTGAGAGCTATACCTGTTTAATAATAATTTCTCACACAGCGTGCTTTGCAGTTCACAGGGCACTTTTATATGTGCTCTCCTGTTTTTGAAGGAAGAACCGACAATATATAACAGCAGGGGTGAGAGGGTCTGTGATCACCCTCAAGTGTACAGCTAAGTGATTGGCTAACACAGGGGGCAACAAACTACAATCACAGGCCAAATCCTGTTGCTGGATAGCTCGTGTTTCTCCCACCACATTTTAAATGGTGGGAGAAAAATCAAAAGAATAATATTTTATGACGTGAAATTATATGAAATTCAGATTTTGGTGTCTCCCATAAATAAAGTTTTTGGGGACACAGCTATAGCCATATGTTGTTGTTTTTTTTTCTTTATCCTCACCCGAGGATATTTTTTGTTTTTTGTTCAGTATGAGTGGGAGGGAGAGAGGAAGAGAGAGAGAAACATCGACATGAAAGGGACACATCGAGTGGTTGCCACCCGCACGACCCAACCAGGGCCGGGGACAAACTGCAACCGAGGTACATGCCCTTAGTGGGAACCGAACCTGGGTCTCTCTGGACTGCAGACCGACACTCTAACTGCTGAGCCAAACTGGCCAGGGCTACAGCCATATGTTTATATGTGGGCTGTGCTCCTTTCACGCACAGTCTGCAAAGCCCCAAATACTTACTATCTGGCTCTTCAGAAAAGGGAGTGCTGACCTCTGGGTTAAGAGAACAGTGCAATTGACTAGGAATTGGAAACTGAAGGAGAGGTGTAGCTCAGATGGAAAAGAGATTTTTTAGTGAATCTTAGTGTCCATAGAATATAAAAAGTTGAGAAAGCTGGAGCTATTTTTATGTCAAAAAGGATGTGAGTTTATAAGGTAGGGCTGGCTGAGGAGAACTTTGGCTAAACATTTTTTATTTAGGTAGACTGAAGCACCATACCATTTTTGCCTTGTGGCATTCTCTCTTCTAATAATTCATGTTTCTTTTTCTTTGGGGAATAGTAGGAGCTGTGTCAAAAACCTGAGTTTTGGTCTTGGATATGAAAGTGATAATCATTTCTCACAAGTAGCTTTGCTTTTGGGTGGTGATCCCATTATGAAAGTGAGTAGTAAAAATCGTTTGACTCCCTCTCCCAAAAGAATCAAGCAAAGGTAATTTTTAACTGATAAAAAGGAAATTCTAAATTCTCATTTGTTGATTTGAATTGAGGTGAGAAGTGGTATGAAAATGAAAAGTATTCTCTGATAGGACTGATTTGAATTTCAGAACAATCACCCATATTTATTTCTCATCAACTTCTACAGCAGGCAAAGGTGCCAGTGGATTGAATTCTTCACCGCAGTTCACTTAATTCTCAATTCCTTTCTTAAATCAAGGGGCTGGTCTCATTCTTATTGCTGCTTTGCTTCCAATTAATGGAAGTTTATTAAAAGAAAACACTATATAATTCATCAAGCTGATCATTATGCTTTTTTATATCTATTGAAATAAGTATGAACCTAAATTCACACCAATCATAAGATACGGTGAGAACCCTGTGTAAGGCTATAAAATTCTCTCCAGTCTAGAAAGTGCATACATACTCTGTATTACACATCTGGATAAGAGTTTGTTCATTGAATTTACCTGTTGTAAGTAAGAATGAAATTATGATATTTAGGGTTATATCAATTTGACATTTTTGAAAAAAAAAAAAAATGTAGTTCAGTTTTCATTCAAGAATTGAA